TTTTTATTATATAATATATTACAATAAAATATATACATATATCATATATAACGTATGTAAAATATAATACAATAGTATTTTATATTTATTTTATTGATATATATTTGTATTATATAAGATATATTATATAGTGAATTATTTTATTAATTTTTATTTTTTTATATAATATACATAAAATAATATATATATAACATAATATTGTATTTTTATTTATTTTATTATATAATACATATATATATAATATTATATATTGTATATGTTTTTATTATATAATATTATAAATGTCTATTATATAACTAAAATATAATATATAATAAAATATATTATATATTATACAATAAATTATATTGTATATTATACAATAAAATATATACATTTTATATAAGAGGTTCATAAAAAAAAAAAATTTCCTCGAACATTGTTTTTAAAGCAAGATTGGAACTCGAACAGTTCCTTAAAGTTTTATTTGAAATTCAATTTTTTTATCAAACACGATACTTGAACGGTATCAAAAAGTTTCAAATTTTTTTTATGAAGGTACTAATTTCTTGGGTGGGAATATTAAAAGGGTTGGTGACAATAGCGGTCGCCTCATTTTCTTTACTGTCCTTTTACCAAAATTGTTGGTCAGCCAATGCATGGCCAGCCTGCCATGACCAGGTATACTTTTTACTATAAATGGGCGCCGAATGCTCGTTCCTTTCATTTTCCTTTTCCTCTCTCTCTAAGGTTAAGCTCAAATCTCTCTCTCTGGTTTCAAATCCCTCAATAAGCTTAAGTTCAAATCTCTCTCTCTTTCTCTCTAGTTTCAAATCCCTAAAAAAGCTTAAAGTTCAAATCTCTCTCTCGCTAGTTTCAAATCCCTGAAAGAAGCTTAAAAGTCAAATCTCTCTCTCTCGTTCTAATTTCAAATCCCTGAAAAAAGCTTTAGTTCAAATCTCTCTCTCTCTCTCTCTGGTTTCAAATCCCTCAGATTCAGAAAAGATCTTACGTTCAATTTTCTCTCTGTACTGTATTCAAATCCTAATCTCAATTGCAGAGCATAATCAAGCTCTGTTCTCTCTGCATCTCTTTCTATCTCTATGGTTTGAAATAGAGAAAAGCTTAAGCTCAAAGCCCTCTCGCTATCTACTGATTTTCAAATCCTGATCTCAATTGCAGAGACTAAGCTCAATTGGAGAGAAGTAGCTTAAAGCCTTCTATTTTAGCTGGTTTTGAACTAAGAAGCTTCGGTGCAAGAGCAATGGAAACTCATTCCTTCAAGTACGTGATCCTTGGAGGAGGAGTTTCAGCAGTAAGTTCCACCGCTCGTGATCTTTTCATTCTATTTGAGTTACTGAGACTTGGTTTATGTAATTTTGTTTCCTGATCTTTTGTTCTGTGGAATTCTTTAATGGAAAAAACTCTGCTCCCGTTGTAATCTTTTATTTGCTTTCGAATCAAGCTTTGCAGTTTCTCTGTTTTCATTCTGTGAAACTTTTGGGGTGAAAATGCTCTGACTTTCGTTGCAATAATTTAAAGTAGAAGAATTACTTGCAAATTTGGATTTTTCTAGTAAGAATTTGCTGAAAAGAAATGAATCCAAGGATTTGATTTTTCTAGTGTTTCAAGACTTGGCCGAGTCTAGGCGCACTCGGACTCGGACTTGGGCGGCTTCGTCCCGAGTTTTAAGTACAACTCAAGTTACGTAAAAAAAAAAATCCTAAACAATGTAGAAAAATATAGGATTGTTGTATGACAATGATTGCTACGTGCTTTTTATATTTTTGCCATATTCCGTATTTTTTATTTTCCCTTTTTTGGATTTTTTAAAATGTTCCTGACTAGAAATCAGTTGTTTAATGTATTTTTTTATATACTTTTTAAAGCTTATTTGAGTTTTTAGGTTTCTTTTGGTTCTGAAAAGAGTGTATGTTTCAAAATTTGGATCAGACAAACGGCCATAAGATAGTTTTTTAAAGTTGTTGCATCATATTACAGTTTTTTAAAGTTGTTGCATCGATACAACAGTTGCATGAAATTATTGCCCCTTAACCTTTACAATTGCATGGAATCATTGCCCTTTAACCTTTGCTACTTTTATTTCGTTATTTAATATTTTTCACGGGCTTTTGCGCTGTACAATATAGGGGACTTGCGTGATTAACTTGCCTCAGGCTAGGGCTGCGTACCTGGCCCGACGAGTGTTTCAAAGCACTGGTTTCTAGTGGCCATGATGCTGCATGATTGTGCATAAATGATTCCATAGAGCTACAAATACACAAGATTTTCACAAATGCAGTCTGAATGTTATCGCAGTGATGATTTTTCTGGGGTTTGGGTTTTGTAAGAATTAGTTTGCTGACTTGACTGTGTACGCTTGGATTTAAGGATGACGCCTTTTCGACATTTTTTTGGTTTAGTAGAACCATTGCTGAACTTTTTCTGGATCATCATTAGTATGGTGACTTGTATGAAAGAAAGTGTTCATTTTAGTGGTTGTAAGGATATTTTTACAATAATTTGATTTGTGCTCGAGTTGTAGGAGCAGCAAATATTTCCTGTTTTTGTTTCTCGTTTATATTCTCTGCTTTTTCGTCCTTCCTTTGTAACTCTTTTCTCTAAGAAACTCTGTTTATTTTTCTATTTTGGTAATTAGATTTTTGTCGTATTTGAGAATTATACATGTCTGATATCACATTTGATAATTATGATCCACTTAGAATGATCCTCGATTCCATTTGCATGCTGTAACTCATTATCTTTCCAGTTACCACTTTCGTTAGCTTGTTTTTGTAATTTTTTTAATTCAAAAAACTCTAATATTTATAAGATACTACCCTTTGCAAAATTTCTATTAAAGTCACTTGAGAACCAAATTCTATAATTTGGAAACCCATGAATTTTTTAAATGATTTCTTGAAATTAACAATTTAATCAAGCAAACTTGTGGCCTTTCTAAAATTATTCTGAGGTGGTTTTCGGATTCTGATTACGAGTGTCTTAATTTCCAACTTAATATACTTGTTATTAAACTTCCAAATGCTACTTTTAGCATTTTACGGCAATAGTTTGTTTGTCACTTAATACAAAAATCCTTGTAGATTATTTTTATTGTGAGGGACGCTTCTTTCTTCGTCTTCTTGCCTTATATGGATATTTTGATTTTGAACTTATTTCCAGGACGACTAGGCATAGTGTTGCTAAATGGTCTAGAATACTGTGAAGAATGATTTCTGAAATCTAGATTTCATTTTATTTTATTTTATTTTATTTTATTTTTACATGCTTCAGTTTTCAGTTTCTGTTTCCTGGTGTAAACTCTATAAAAAAAGATAATGCACACTATTATACTTTTATTGACGCAATAATTTTCCAGTAGCAATTTGATCTTTTCCACTGTGATTGCAGGGATATGCTGCTAGGGAGTTTGTTAAACAAGGACTTCGCCCTGGCGACCTGGCAATCATATCCAAAGAGTCGGTAGGCGTTTGAAATTTTTAGTTGAATTTGTCAACAAGGGCTACTGTTGAGTGCAGTGGTTTTTTCTTTTTATTTGTTTCTAGTTTAGTTGGGCACTATCTTCTTCTGTGGTGTTTGGGCAAGTGGTGATGATTCTCTCATTGCTTATGCTTGACTGAGTAATCCTTTTATGATTAAAAGAAAAAGAATATTGTTAGTTGCTTCAAATTAGTACATGATGAAGTATATTCTTCAGAGTAAAATTTATGTCTTCCAGTGTTCTTGTACGTCCACACCTTCCAATTTTGTCGAGACTAAGTTGGTACGGGTGAGGTGCACATCTCTCAATTTTGTGGTGACTAAGTCGGTCTGGATGACGTTGAGGGTTGAAATGGGATCTTTATATAATTAATGAGTTGTATGCCCATCATTTCCTAGTTAGTCATCTCTATGGAAGGATATCTTTCCATCTCTCTTTTTCTTTTTCCCACAGTTTTCCTTCTGAGGGCCTTTATTTATTCAGCTTAAGGTTATAGAGAATTTGAGCTTTAATCAGTTTCTCTAAAATACTATGTTTAGGTTGACATCTGCATTATGGGCATGTATCCGTAATCAGTGGAACAGCTGAATATTGTTGATTTTGTGCACTTTATGCACAGAGAACAAATAATATTTGAATGACATAGATATGCTTAATTCATCTTATAGACCAACCATTTCAGCATGGGTAAATTCTCTAATTCACAGCATGTTTGAAGGGCTAGTCTTATGAAAAGTTCGTCTAGATTGTTATTCTGTTCAACTGCAAAGAAACACTTAATCCACATGAAGTCCCTTTTATGAAAATATATCTGGTTTATATTAATGTGAACCTGCTGTTGTTTTCCACATGGTCTTGTGGTGGTGGTGCTGTTGTTCCGTGATACATGCTTCTTCCTGCTGTGAGCTTCATCTAGATCTAATATGCACTTGACAAACTTTACAGGTGGCTCCTTATGAACGTCCAGCACTTAGCAAGGGCTATCTTTTTCCTGAAGGTATGGGAAAACCTTTGAACTTGAAGAGTTTGTAAGCATTCATGCCTGTTAACTATCATTTAAAAAGAGAAGTACTAATATTGCTGATTATGCAGTATTCATACTTTAATGTCTATTTGATTTGTGTGGCTATTAGTTGAATTTGCCTTATTTTATTTGCATCAAGTTGAGACAACATACTTTTAATTCCAGCTGATGTGTGCATTCAAATGTTAGAAATTGCAGCATCATCAATGTCCCTGACTTTTAAATGATGCATTAGCACAGCGTTTAGATCATTATTGCATCACTTATTTTTGTTTGTCATGCAATATGAGTTAGCCTTGCCAAGAAGGTAACTAGCTGCCTCATGTAAACTAAAAATTTCTATACCAGTTTTGTGGTTCTCAGAAGATGCTTTCGTCTTTTGGGGTAATTTAAGGCACAAATGTGGTGCATGTTGATGTTCTAAATGCAACATTCTTGTAAGATAAGGCATTTGATTATTATTTTTAACTTGTCATGTTTCTAGACATTCTTACTCGCATTTTCTGTAACTTCAAGTTTGTTGCTTCTTTTGGCTTATATCATTAAAGGTCTGATGAATCTGGTGCATGTTTAACCTTATCTCTAGAAACATCATCAATCATCACTCTTCTATAACAAGCCATGTGAATTGTGATCCGTCAATTATGCCACGATCTTTTACTGAGTAGATCATTATGGGCTGCTCAACTTTTTCCCTGTATGCATATTCAGGAGCAGTGGATCTTCCTGGGTTCCATGTTTGCGTTGGAAGCGGGGGCGAGAGATTACTTCCTGAATGGTACAGCGAGAAAGGTTGTCACTTCTTAATATGCTTTTGGCTTTCCATTATGTTGATATTAAATTTGAATTGAGAGTCTTATAGAACCCCATGACTGCACTAACAATTATGTGGGTTCCTGAGCTTCACGGATGCCCTAATATTTTATTTCCAATGGGTTCCTGCAGGCATAAAACTCATTCTTGGTACCGAGGTAACCAAAGTAAATATAGCCGAGAAAACTCTTACAACTGCAGCTCAAGCTGTCTTCAAATATGAGACTTTGATAATTGCAACTGGATCTTCAGTAAGTTTCTTTTAATATATAACCTATAAAGGGAAAACAATATGGTTGTTTTTTTCCTTTCCAACAACAACATGATACCTTACAGCGAAAGTGTGTGTTATTTTCTGTTATTTGCTCATTTTCTCTTGTATGTCAATGTGTTCCTATACTGAAAGAAAGAAATTTAATTACATCTCATGAGCTACTATCTCATTAGATCTGTTGTCAAAGCTATGTAGTGTCTTGATCTGCTAATTGTGGAAAATCCACTGTTTGAATTCATCATCTTGCTTTCTGAGTTTTATGAACTTTTCCCTGTATTGGTCTTTTTATTACATTTGCAGGTAATAAGGTTGTCCAATCAAGGTGCTAATGCCAAAAACATATTTTATTTGAGAGAAATTGAAGATGCAAGTGAACTTAGAAAAGCAGTAGGGGCAAATAAGAATGGAAAAGCTGTGGTTGTTGGTGGAGGATACATAGGTCTTGAGCTGGGAGCTGTACTGAGAATGCACAATTATGATGTCACAATTGTCTACCCTGAACCATGGTTTTGTAAGTTGCAACTTGTCCCATACCCTGTTAGAAATTAGTACTCTCTCTCTCTCTCTCCGTATACACATACATACATACATATACACAATGCTGTATGTATGCATGTATTTATGTGTCTTTTGTAACAAAAGCTGCTTTGTCTCTTATGATATTTCTTGTAAACATTGACGGTCACAAGTAAATATTGTGGTTTTCTTTCATCAAACAAAATCTTATAGTTTTTAAAGTCAGTGGTGGGCTTCATTTTCACTTTTAGATCTTCTGTTTAGAAGTGTATCTTTCTTGTAGTGCCCCGTCTCTTCACCGCTGAATTAGCTCACTTTTATGAGGGTCACTACAAACACAAGGGAGTAACACTCATCAAGGGAACAAGAGCTGTTGGATTTGAGTCACATGCAGATGGAACCGTAAGATACACAACAAAATTTTTAAGTAAATACAATAATCTAATGGACTATGATCCCTACTCCAAGTTACATCTGCTGTGTGCTTGTTTACAAATGATTAGATATTAATTGTTCTCTGGTGAATGTACTCGTGATCTCCACTTCAGCTATAACCAACCATCCATTTGAATCAGACAGTTGATGTAGACTTGGAGTACCTAAACCCATAGTCCAAATGCCAAATTTAAACCGGTTCCTAATTTTCGCTCTTGGGGTATGTCATTTTTTTGTGCTTGACTTGAAATATACCTTGTTCAGGTCAAGACAGTGAAATTGAAGGATGGTAGAGAGCTCGATGCTGACATTGTTGTTGTTGGTATTGGAGCAAGGCCACTCATATCTCTTTTCAAGGACCAGCTAGAAGAGGAAAAAGGTGGAATCAAGGTTTGTTTTCTTAATGCACATTAACACCTGCACAAATGGAAAAAGGAAAAATGTGGCATGCAAAGTTAATGTTCAACCAAAAAAAAAATTGGAGAATAAGCATAATTGGAAAATTCACCATGCAAAGTTGTATTGCATAGGATACAATATCGGGGCATCCACCATCCGATTGAGATAATAGATGGTGGGAATCAACTGTAGTCTGGCCAACAGGAACAATCATCGGCGTGGTACAGTTAATCTCCACATCCATGGTATACAGTGGATGGTGGATGTCCTGAGGTGTATCAAATACCATATGCCTACCATCGATGTGTGTACATGTCATTGACTAAATGCCATAGCTCAGTGCTTCTGCTTGTACCCATATGAGTGGTCTTATGTCTTTAATGCCTCTTGAAGCTAATTAAATTTGATGTTATGATATATTGCTGACTTTTTAGATTCTTGCATCAATACGTATTATCTTGTACTATCTTAAAGGCAAGTTTTTATAGGTAATTATCATATAATAATGACTTATTCTTGGTTATCTGATTATGGTTATTGAACGGATTTAGACCGATGGATTTTTCAAAACAAGTGAGCCTGGGGTTTATGCCATTGGTGATGTTGCAACTTTTCCGATGAAAATGTATGGTGACATGAGGAGAGTGGAGCACGTAGATCATGCAAGGAAGTCGGCAGAACAAGCTGTGAAGGTAAAAAGCATAAAAGAAAATCTCTAATGGCTTCAGTTATACTGAAAGATTAGAGGTTTAACAATAGGTTGAATATGTGGGGGATATTCTATGGTGGAGCAAACAATGACCTCTCTCTCTCTCTCTCTCTCTCTCTCTCTCTCTCTCTCTCTCTCTCTCTCTCTCTCTCTCTCTCTCTCTCTCTCTCTCTCTCTCTCTCTCTCTCTCTCTCTCTCTCTCT